CAAACAATACACCACTATTATTTCGTTTACGGTCTGGCGAAACAAAGTTAGCACGTGTGATAACCCTACGCCCATTTTATCGCGAGAATACATTCTTTCAAAGGAATGGAACAATCTCTTAAATACTTTGTGGTGCCATAAATATTAGGCGATCTACATCAATTTTAGTTATTCTCAGAACACGCGCCATCGGTCCAACACGAAGTGTTTTTTTTCCTTTATCATCACCGTGGATTATCCACAGGTCTATACTAGTATATATATATATATATATATATTCATTAAGATATTTGTGTCTGTAATATAAAATAAGGTTGTTAGTTACATTACTGAAAGGGTTAAGTTTTATGTAAAATTTAAAAGACTTGTGATTCGTTGTTGTTTAATCAGGGACACTTCAGCAGGTTTGATCGGTTAAATGCGTTTTATATTTATATTAAGATATATATTTTTAGGTAACAAATGCGAAGGTAAAATTTACTTTTCTATTGCTACTTATTAAAGTTTTCATGCATAATATTTTCATTGCATATAAAACAACGAACAAGTCAATGCGCAACTGACCTGTGTTCTCTGTCCTTCTTATACAGATCCTACTTGTGTCAGTATAGCAAACACACTGACAATTCAGCTTGGAAGAGAACCTGATCTTATACCTGATGACGTATTAACCTTTCTGCCTGGCAACGGACTCTACAACCGAGATGTTCCTCCTGAGTTAGGGTTAGAAGCCACTGGAATGATTACGGTAGAAGAGGCAGTCAGTCCGGTATGTCATGTCCTTTACTGAGGAAATAGTAGTTATAGAGAGCGCTGTTTTTCGATGATACTGATTATAGCTCAGGAAGAAAGAGTGATGACAGAAGGCGGAATTGAACCAAAGCTATTTATAATAGTTCAAAGTATTAAGATATCATTACTAAGGTGTATGATGTTAATTAAAGAGTGATGCTGTTAGTCTGATGATAGTAAGAATAGTTCAAATAATATTACTGCAGAAGAAATTAGTTTAGTAAGCAATATTATTTAATGAGGGGGCATTTATGGTAGAGAGCGCTGTCAGTCTGGCAGTATTAATTATAGTTCTAGGAAAGATTACAGCAAAAGAGATTGTCAGTGTGTTATGGTATTTTTTTTATAGTGGTAGAGGGCGCTGTCCATCCAGCAATATTAATAATAGTTTGACCAGAATAGTGTCGATCCGCTGAAAACCCATTATCCAAAAGAGAAAACAAAAGGGATAGCAGGAATAGAGAGTACTGTTGTCAGTTCTATAAGGTTAAAATATACCAATGGATGGTGCACGTGCAGTAAATTGCACTTTCTGACAATTCATCGCTTCTATTGCTAGTTATATAATTCCTGATGCAGATTCCTTATTAAAATATTTAATTAACGAAGCGTGAATCCATTACTTGTTTTATTGTTATGTTCAAAGCTGCAGCACATTGGGCTATTAGTGCTGAGCCCATCGCAAGGATCATACCCTGAATTTTATGTAACTTCATAAAATTGAATTCGCGATGAGTTACTTGTATATATACTTCGATTAATCCGTTATTTTATACTTGGTCTATGCTTCTCTTAGAGCCTACGGTATTTCAGTTAGATAACTTAAGTTAAAATAGTTGTACATGTTTTTCACTTTGTTAGGCTTAGACTGACCAATATTACACTATTCGGAATGTTAAGTATGTTTTGTTTGTTTGTAGTTAAGCATAAAGCTACACAATGGGCTATCTGTGTTGTGCCCACCACGGGTATCGAAACCCAAATTCTAGCGTTGTAAGTCCGCAGGTATACCGCTGTGCCACTGGGAGGCGTTAAGTACGTAATCGTTTACATACATTATAGACATAAAATATTCACGGAATCAAAGTGGCATACGTCAACCATAGAATTGCGTCTGGAATCCACTTGTTTTTGAAACACAATTTCTTTCAGTATTAATACACCAAATTGTTTATGGTCCATGAGTTTGTTAATAATAGAGTCCCTAATAACACGTGAGTCACGTAATAAAATCTTAAACAGGAATGCCATTAGTATTATAATTAATCCTTGTAATCACTGCTGGGGTTACTCCCCTGTAATTTTATACAGAAAACAATGAAGCTTGTTCATCTATACTGGCCAGTTCTTTACACTGAGTGTTGTCACAGGCAACCCCCTAAAAAAACAACAACCATAAAAATACTTAATATGATTTGATTTATGGATCCTACCGGTAGTGAACGGTATACAAAACAAGTCAGTCATTTGGAGGTTAAAGTTTTTCAAGTATATAAAGTTATTCTTAACACCAGTTAGACAGATTTTACGTTCATTATCTTAAGTTTCGTTTGAGTCTATTCTTTAACACATATTTGACTCCTGCTTTGCGTATTCTAAATATCAAGAGACAATCCTAGGTTTTCTTTAAATAAGAGATAATTATACTATGTTTATAATACAGAATTGCTGTTATTTCAGAGTTAAAGGCGTCCGTTTAAACATATATTGCAGCGGTACTTACTAAATATATAGATTTTAGATTTATTTCTCATTGGGAATTTATAGCATCTGTTGGTATGTTATGCATATTCACAATAACCTAGGCCTAACATGGCCTGATAGTTAGAGCGCTCGACTCGTAGTCTGCGGGTCGCGAATTCGAATCCCGTCACCGAACATATTTGTTCTTTCAGCAGTGGAGGCGTTATAACGTGATGGTTAACCCCATTTTTCTTTGGTAAAAGAGTAGCCCAAGAATTGGCGGTGAGAGGTGATGACTAGCTGCCTTCCCTCTAGTCTATCGCTTCTAAGTTATGGATGCCTAGTGCTGACAGCCCTCGAGTAGCTTTTCGCGAAATTCTAAAGACAAACAAAGGATTTAATTACAAAATTAAAGAAAAAAACAACCAAAAACAGCACGTCGAAAAAAAGACTCTATCTCATATTTTCGATATTTTATTCATTATTATTTATGTCACATCAGCCGTTTGTTTTTCTCTCTGAAAATTGATTGATCAAAATAAATATTATGTTTATATAACTTCATTTTAAACTCTGAACAGTTTACTCCATATTTTGAACTGTTCGGCCCAAGAGAGGTTTGTGGAGGAAACATTAACATCACAGTAACTGACGTCACAGCTGACGGATGCCATGAGATGGATTACTTCCAGACTATTCTACCGACCGATACTTCAGGTAAACGACTCTAATAATGCAATAAAACGTTAAGTGTTGTAACTGTTTTTTTTTATCGATTTTATATTTCCGATCAAGTATCGTGTTGTATAGCTGTGTTAGTTCAAGTATAAACCTAGTGTACAGTTATGTACTCTTCGCGACAAATAGAGATTCGAGGACCTAGTATGTGGAAGAACAGGAGTAGTGATTTGTAATGATGGAACGTAAGAGGCAAGACCGAGGAAGACAAAAAGAAAGCTAATTGTTTGGTGGTGGAACTATTGTAAATGTTGCTCTTAGTTTTACGTTAAAATATATGTAGGAATAGGTGATGAGGAAATTGATCTGTAAGAAAAATCTAAAAACTGTATTTAAGTGAAAATGGCAAGCCAAAACACACGTGATTAGCAGAGCAATATTTAATAAAGAGGAAACTCTAGAGTTAATCTGTCTTTCTGGAAGTCTGAGCTAATCTGTTTGAAAACGCCAAACCACATTCACAATTCATACTTTCTCTATGGTCGACCAATCAGCATGGCTAGGTGGATAAGGCGCTCGAATCGCAATCTGAGGATCGCGGGTTCGAATCTCCGTCACACC